TCCACATTAAAGGCCCTTATCGCAAACTGAAATTCTTATGGATGAAAGGATATGAGGTCTGAATTTGCTTCAAAATAATCCAATGAGCTGGGAGGAAGCATGGAGGATTAGTGAAACAGACTGGGCCATGGCATGGCTTGATCATTGTTGATGCTGGGTGATGGTACAGGGGAGTGCTAATAGCACTGGTTCTAACTTTAGCATGCAACAGAATCATCTGGAAGGCTTGTTAAAACACAGAGAGCTGGGCCCCACCTCAGAGACTCTGATTTAGGAGGTCTGGGTGAAGCCAAGAATTTGCATTTCTAGAAAGTTCTCAGGGGATGCTGATGTTGCTGACCTGGGAACCCCACACTGAGAATCATTGTATTAAATGGAGTTCCCACCTCTGCCTGCTTAGAATCTCAAACAGCAGGAAAAAAAGGCAGAAAAGAGACACAGACAATGGGAAAAGCACTGAACCATCAACACAATTCCAATTGGACTGAGTTTGGGAAACAATAATGTTGGTTTTCCTCATTTATTCTGAACCTCTATCTGTATAATTGTTATGGAGTATGCTTTGGGACTGTGCCATTAAGCAAAATGAATAACCAGGATTTCTAACTGTTCTTTTAATACAAGACTAGAGTTAGGTTGTGGTTTATCTAGATTGGTGGCACCACTTCCCGTATTTGCCTGAGATTCAGAATGGGTTTAAAATGTGTAGTCAGAAATCTTTTCCTTTGGTCTTTCAGATGCACCTAGTTCCAGAAACTAGATGTGGAACTTTCTGCATCTCGTTGGGTCTAGAGGCATCAGATGATGAAGAAAGAAAATTTCAAGCTTGAGGCTGTATGGTCACAAGGAGGCAAGTAGCACTTTTGGTCTAATTTTATTTCGTTTAAACACCCTTTGGCCAACGATTGCTGCATGCCAAGCATTGACCAACAGACTCTGGGATATGCAAAAATAAATTCCAAAAGAATGGTCCTTGACCCTGAAGAGCTCACATATAGTTTGGAAGGTAGACATGTAAATAAATAATTATACTATAATATTAATCATTATATAATAACTGTGGTTGTTATGAGTATGCTGTTCGTTTTCAACTAAGTGGGGAAAGAAGTGAAGAAACAGTCTCAAGGGATGACAGTTCAACTGGTTCTTGAGCAATGAGCACCTGTCTATTAGCAAAGAGATGCATGCAGGGGAGAGGCACACAGGAGAGGAAGCAGTAGAAGTGTGGGAGAGTGAAAGTGGCTCCTACCTCTAATCAAAGAGTCATTTGACAGGATTAGAGTGTGGGCTGTGAAGGAGGAGGGGGCTGGCAAAGACACAGAAAAGGTATATTTGTTTGACATGCAATACACACAGCAATAAAAAGTTTATACTCTATCTTGAGGACCATGTACCCCAAGGTGGTGTATGGGGAAGATATCACAGAGCTGAATTTCAAACAGCCAAATGCAGTGGGACAGTGGGTTAGACAGTGGCAAGAGGTTTCTTTAGTCTGTAGACCAGGCAATGAATTCAGGAGGCCATGAGTTCAGGCAGAGATGATGAAAACTCGGTCTAGGGCTCCATAGTTTAGAATATTTGCATAGGAGGCCCGTTGCTAGCATGCCAATAGAAAAGTCATGTGTGCATTTGTGTGTAGAGGTTTGAATATACATAAACTTATATAACTTTATAAAGATAGATAAATATGAAATTTACGTATACAACTTTTATATCACCTATCTGGCCATAATATGGAGATAAGAAAAGAAGGAAGAAAGGAAGGGAGGGAGAAAGGGAGAAAAGAGAAAGGAAGGAAAAATACTGTATCTATAATAAATAAAAAAGAGAAAGTAAAGTTTGCCACCTAGAAAAGAGCTTAAAGGGCTTCAAGTGAGACCAAGCCGCTCCCTTGGCTGCTATAAAGGTTTGGTAACTTATAACATAGGCCTAGGGTGTGTGTGTATGTGTGTGTGTTGGTGGGGGGTGGGGGAGGAGAGGGTTATGAAAAAGAATAATGGAGAAAAAGAATAAATGCAGTATAATTTTTAAGACTTTGAATACCACAAATGAGTCACAATTTGGAATTTCACTTTTTCTTCCAATATTTTCCACATAATTAGCCCATTCATATACACAAAAAGAACACATGGAATATTTCAAAATGACACAGGACTCACTCCGAGCACTGAAGCAGGATGCTGAGGCTTGCCTCCCGTACCATCCCTGGAGCAGGGATGAAGGTCCTGGCCTGTGCATTCAGCTGGTGATGAGACAAGGCACAGGGCACTGCCACCTCCTTTTATAACGTTTCCCATATCTTTTCTTCCCTGTAAATTACACATGCCAGGCCTTTGCCAAGGGAGATAATGCTGCTCCCATGTGAATTGGATACTCAGTGCCCTGCATGCCTCAGTGTGTCAAGGCTAAACAGGTCTATTGTTCTTAAACAATGTTGCCAGAGAATTGTCTCCTTGTGCAGAATGATGCTGAAGAGATAAAAATATCTTTCATTTCTGTAGTGCGTTGCATCTTACAGTGTGTTCCACATTTTGCAAACTATATATAGGCTCAATTCATTACCCATCCCCATAAAATACAGCCAGAGCACTGTCAGGCACATGCCAGATGTTTGACAATGGTTTAATAACAGAGTAAAGAACAAGTTAAATTGGACTCAGAAAACAGGAAATGGGATGTGGGGCACTAGGTAAAACTATGCCCTTAATCCTACATTATGTATTGAGTGCCTACTGCCTACCAGGGTAAGAGCCCGGCGCCATGGGACCTGGAGAAGCACCACTCTTACCCTCAGGGGGCCGCCAGGATATCCAGGAGGACACGCAATCAGATAGATTCTATGGTCCAGTCTGATTCATGTTAAAATCGAGTTAAAATACAAGGCGCCATGGTCCTTACTGCCTTTCAAGGGAGGTGTTTACCATTAGCCACCCTGGCATCAGCTTTCCCTCAGTTTCCTAAAAGGCTTGCATCTGATAGAATTATGGAGTGTATGTTGAAGAAAAGCTGCTCTGGAGCTCAGAATCCAGGCTGGAGGCGGAGCATGGTTGTGGGGAAAATAAGGAAAGAAGAGAAATCACAAGTTGAGCAAGTTGGGGAAAGACCGAGGGCACTCAGAGTAGAATGAAAATCAAACAGTTTGGGGAAAATACGTGACCAATGAGACCAGAGGAGTCTGTGCAGATTCCAGGCTCATCGCTAGTGTTCCTGGGTTGGGGGGAGGGGCGGTCAGTCACTGGCAACAACCTGCCCTAAAGCCGAAGCCACTGAGTCACTGGGGAAGCGCTTCCAAATCTCTCCAGGCTGAGAGCTGTGGCTTCTGGAAAACAGACAATAGGATTTTAGGACTGGGGGGGGGATCCCAGAGAAGTACTGTCTTATTTCATAGATGAAGAAAGATACGCCCAGGTTTATTAAGTGGTTACAAAAGGTAGCAGTTCTCAGGCCAGAGCCCGGGTCCAAAGGCTCACCCTGACCCCTCACTCAGGCCCGGCCTTGGGTGAATCAGTGGTGCAGTCTGGCCCTGCCCCTTTGGGGGATGCTTCTGAAAGCTGAAAACCTGGTTCTTGGGGCCTTTCTGCAGGACTGCAGAGAGACTGACCACGGTGCACAGGGATTAAGGTCTTATAACCCACCTACGCAGATGTGAGCAAGAGATTTGGTTCAGATAAATGAAAAAGAAATAGCTTAGAAGATTGTGACTGCCCAGGTCAGACAGGCTGCCACCCAGGGAGAACCTCTGAAGCCCATTTGGTCTCTGGAAGTATATGTAACTTCCGGGCCTTATTAACGTATCCAAGATGGGAAAGTCAGGTTACCCTGAACTCCCAGGAAGGGCCTGTTCAAAACGTGTTTAAATCCCTGAACAAGGAGGTTTTCACCAGCACTGGCAGGTTCTAAGAAAAACAAAAAGGAATGTGGTTTATAATGTATCTGTGCAAAAAATATTGCCAAGAGGCATTAAACAGGAAATTCTCTGCTCATGATGACTGTCCCTCTCATAAAACTGCCTCTCCCTCTCCTTCGTGCTATACAGGGGCCCTGGTGAACACAGGAAGATGAGGGTGCATGAGCATTGCAGGAGAGCAAGGGAGCAAGCAGGACAGTGGAAACTCCAGCTGAAGGTTGAGGCCCTGTGCTGCATCTCGACCCTGCAGCTTCCTGTAGGGCCTCAGGCAAGTGGGCCCAGAAGGATTCCACTAGAAAGGATTCCAACTGGCAGATGACCCCCCAGGGTAACGTCTGTCTTGTTAAAAAGCCAATGAGAAGGTTCGTAATTTTTTGCCATGAATGCACGTGTGTACGCTTCGCCCCAACTAGAGGGCAAACTTTCCAAGAACAGGAGTTCACGTATTCATTCCACACATCTTCATTAAGTACCCAAAACAGGCCTTTGCACAAATCGAGGGAATAATAAATATTACAGACATTGGATGAACAGCCAGGAGGAAAGTCACTGGAAAGTGGTGATGAGTCAGGGTCTGAACTCCCGCCGGCTCAGGACGCTGGACAGCGGTGCCCGGACACCCCTGTACCTGGGCCCAGAGCCTCCTGCCTCACTCTTTGTCCCTGACCTCAGGAAACAGCAGGGTACACTTGAGGCCCAGAGACCAGGGCTTGGAAGCTGTCCGGAGGAGACTTGCACTCCTGAAACTTCTTGGCCGGGGAGCAGCAGACTCCGGAGCCAGCCCCCATTCTCGGGAGGGAGATCTCGTTCCTACCCGCTGGGCTGGGGGTTCGAAGGACAAAACACTCGGCCCTGAAGGCCCAGAGGGGGCGGGGACTGATTAAGGAGGCCGCGGGCTCTGCGCCAGGTGAAGAAACTCTAGAGAGGATGCCACCTGCTGGCGAGGGGCCGCGGCTCGCGCGGTGGGCGCAACGGAGACCCGGAGCCTGGATGGGCAGAGAACAAGAATTCGGGCAGTTTTCCAAGTGGCCGGTTTTCTGCTGTCTCTTCAGGGTCGCCACCTCCTCGGGTCGAGCCCAGAGACCCGGTTCTCCGCGCGGCGCGCTCCGGACGCCGAGGTTCCCAGCGGGGGCGGCGGGCGTCCTCCCCCGGCCCCCTCCCCTCGCGGCGCTTCGAGGTCTAAGCCTCCGCGCTTCTCCATCAGGTGGAGCCGTGCTGCTCGCCGCCTCCCTCCTCCGCTCCCTCCTCGCCGCGAACTGCGCGCAGGCACCTTACAGCGCCAGGAGGTTAACCGAGACCCCGGAGGAGGTGAGGCCAAGGACCAGCCCAGGCGGAGATGGCGGGGCCGCCGTCGGGGCTGGCGCCAGAGCCCGGCCGGCTGTGGGTCCTGCAGGTACCGCTGTGGTTCTCGCCGCCCCACGTGGTGGCTGCCGAAGACTGCCCTGATTTTTTCCGGCACTTGGGCTTGAAAGGCCTCCTGGTCCTTTTAGAGGCAGGCAGCTCACCACTTAATCCAAGCTTTTTTCCTTTCTGCCGGAGACCAGAGGCTGCGGGGCGGGGGGAAGGAGAGGGGGCTGGAGAAGGGAACAGGCCTAGCTGGCTGGGGGGTGGAGGGGGTGGGGGATCGGAGCCAGATTGAGAGTCAGGAGGCCAATCTCGGGACCAGGGGACGAGGGAAACCAGGTCCTTCCAACCTCAGACTCCTCCCACCCCTCTTCTCCTGACCAAGAGTGAGTGTGTGTAGTTTGAAGGCGCCTGTAGGTGGGCCTGATTTTGGTGGGTTGCACAAGTCGTGACCCTGGCCTCTTGATCCTGGTTTGTAGTATTTCCCTCTGGGGCTGAATTAAGCAAGTTTGGTCCCAGGCCACTTAGGAATTAGCAATCAGAATTAACAACAGCTTAAAGGGTAAATGTCAGTTAAAACATCAAATGTTGCTTTGTAAGGCACAATCTACATTCTTTAATTATTAGTCTTATTCACAGCAAGGTTGGCCCTAGGCATGACCCCCAGACCTGAAATTTCTTCCCACCCCTATAGATTCAATTGGAAAGCTCCTACTAAAGTTATAGCACTACACATGCCATATTTTCACTCTTGATATGTTATTTGACATGTTATTTAGAATTATTATTCATCTTTTGCACGTGTTTCTGATTTGTCTCTTCTATTTCATTACGTTGTCTATTATAGCAAGTCCCTGGACTAAGGTAGTGCTGACACTTTGCTTCTGTACCTTGTTTGCTAATTTAGCTGATGGGGTGCCTCTTTTGGGTCCTCTTAGTTTCTGTTGCTCAGCATTGCTTATTTTCCCCCAAAAGTTTGCTTACAAATTTCCCTTTGATGTGTTTAACAGCCTCTAAGGGATGCAGTTAAATAAACTATTAAGAATAGAAAAGTCAACAGGGCAGACACCTACTAATTTGTAGATCTTTGATGTCAACAACCAGATGTAAGCTCCTGATAGCACACACTTTCACATGTGCCCCTTCTCTCTTTCTTGTTCATAAATACTAAGGGATGTGTTTTTTAAAGTTAAGATCCACGTGGAAACTTGGAATGTACCTTGCAATCAGCAAAGTCCCCAAAATATGTAATACTGTTGGAAGAAAAGCTAAGAGTTTCCCAAAACACCTCTCCAAGGTCCAGTGACTGGTGAAAGTAATGATTGATTTTATAATTGCATGCCACAAATCGAGTGAGCATCTTTCATTTCCCTCTCCTTACTCATTACGTCCCCTTCTTCTGCATAATGCTGTATATTTTTATATGTTGCTTTGTAACTATCCTTACAGTTTGTATCTTATGTGTGTGCTCTGCTTCCACACTAAATTATGAGCTCCTGAAGGCATGGACTGTGCCTGCAGTTTTATTTCCCCCAATGCCCTGCTTATACCAGGCATATCTAAATATCTCTCAAATAAATAGACCTAGATACATTTGCTTTGATATCCAGGAGGAAATAGAGTTTGATTTGAGTGTGAGTTTCATGACAGGTGAAAGACCTGAAGGTTCTTAGGAGGCAGTTGCCTGTGACCTTGGCCTCTCCTTCGCAGTAGGATTCACAGCACCTCTTGGAGAAAAGACACGCTCAGAGCGATGGGGTGCTCCTTAGAGGAGTGACTCCAAATGCAAAGCCAGCCTGCTCCCCTATCCTTGGTAGGAAATGCACAAACCAGGATAATAATAATAACAAATGGGTATGTGTCATAAATCTACCTGCTTTCCCTCTAGTTCCTTCATTTTGTTTCCTAGGAGTATGGCAAAGCAAAACCAAGGTGCAAACGTTCCCAGCTTATTACCTAGCCCCCTCCTAGGAAAGTCTCAAAAATGCAAAGCATGCTTATCTTTTCCCCAACTCCGAGACTCCTGCTGCACACACTGGCCAAGTCTTTCCTGGGGAAAGATGTATCCCCCCTTGCCTCTTGCTTTTCCCCATCCAGCCCAGTTTCCAGCCCCCCGTGCAAAGGCAAGGCAGGCATATTGTAGTGTGGGTACGTGCATCCAGCCATCCTTCACTCCTTTAAACAACATTATGTCCTGTGGACAAAAAGTCACACCTCCGCTCCCTGTTCAAGATGTCTTTTGGTCAATGATGGTGGCAAAAGCTGAATTTCCCCCTATGTAGGGGGAAAAAAAGAAGGAAAGAAAGAACAGAGCCTCCCCTGCACCACCGCCACCCTCAGTTTTGCATAGATCGCCTTTCACCAAGTATTTCCTCTTTAATTATGACCTGTTTCCCCTCCCTCTCCCTCCGCCCCAGCTTCAGTGAAAGGAGCCCTTCTGTCACTCGTCACTCGCTCCCTGGCTCGCTCGCGCGCTGGCTGTGGGAGGAGCCGCCGGAGGAAGCTGTGTGCCTGGGATGCCGAGCGCCAGAGGATGGAGCTGCTCCGAGAGGGGACGTCGCTGACAAACCCGGTTTCCCGAGGCGGCTAGGAACAGGCGACTTGCCTCGGCTGGCTGCGGATCCCCTGAGGCACGGAGCCCGAGGCCACCCGGAGGGACCGACGGACAGACAGATGGTCGGCGCGAACCCGGGAGGACCGCGGCGGAGGCAGGGCACCACGAGCCGCCGAGCAGGAGAAACTCACCGCGAACCCAAGTTGCCCCGCCGGCTTCCCCTCGGCGCGCGGAGGAATGAGACCTTTCCAGCTCGACCTGCTGTTCGTCTGCTTCTTCCTCTTCAGCCAAGGTAGGACCCGTGCGCCGCTGGAGTTGCAAAAAAAGTCGGCGGGGTTGTCAGGGCGCGCGAGGCTGCGGGCAGGAATGTGGGCAGGGTTCGGAAACTCGAACTGATGGATGCGTCTCCCGGTGCCCGGCCGAGAGGCACTGGCATTGCCTCTTTGCCTTTGAAAATGCAACAAAATGGTACTGTTTATTTTCCTTTGGAAGGCAGGGATACCGGAGGGGAGGGTGACTTTCTCCCCTCACTTGTCAACATCCAGCTCAAACTCCCCAATGCAAATGAGTTCTTTATGCTCCCGGTATGTTAATTAGGCGGCATCGTTGTGGCTGTGCGGCTCTGAACTTCTGGGCGCCTCCTCTCCTCCAGACGCAGGTTGGAGAAGAGGGCCGGGAAGGAGAGCTTTGTTTACGTGGCTATTTCAGCACGAATAAGGTCGGGCTGGCACGGGTGTATTCGGAAGGGAATGCGTGTGGAGGGGTCTGCGATGACAGAATGGACCGTGGGGAGATGTGCAATGTTTGGGAAAAGCTTCTCAAGAGTTTCATTGAATGTAATCGGCTTCTCTGAATACGACTGCATTCTGAGTCCTACACAGTACTAGATTTCAGGGCATACAATGAAATTCCGCCCGTGATGCTGATTGCTTCCTTTCTGCAGCTTAGCAGGGGCAGAGAAGCTGGTGGACTTTCCGAAAAGAACTTGGCCACCTCGGGCTCCCTGCCCCTGGGAGCCTTGGGGCCCGTGGAGGTGGAGGGCAGGGACGGCCGTTGGGGAGATGGATGGCCAGTGCCTGCAGAGCCGGTGGCATCCGAGTCACCTGTGGAATTGAGTTTGAGGGACAAGTCAGTCGGTTCCTTCCCCCGCTTCTGGAATGCCGGCGCTGTCTCTGCCATCTGAGGCGGCATTTGTGCCAGCCAGCACAGCTCTGGGAGGAACAGGCCTCTCAGAAAAATCCACAACAGAGCACGTCCATCTGTTGATTAAATGAAGGGTAAAAGTTTTTGAGAAAGCACAGCACCGCCATGGGTGGCTGGCTTTGCAAGCAAACAGCATGTCTCCCTTTCTTCCCCTGTCAGGGAGAAGCCAGATGAGAGCAGAAACCCACACCTCCTTCCCCATCTCCTCAGCTGCTACTTGTGGTCACTGCAGATTTTCCCGCTTTCAAACTTTGCTTCTGACCATCCTGATTTAACCTGGGGGCCCTTCCCACACCCGAGTATGCGTGTATCCCTGCTTGTATGTAATTCTAATGTACACACACACACACACACACACACACACACACACTCTCTCTCTCACGTATTCATGTGGTTTTGTGCCTCTCACCAGGGCTCCCTACAGCAGCAGGAAGATAAATTGCCTTCCCCAGAGTTTTTTGGGCTGAATGAATAAGAACTATCTCAGAACACTGGTATAGAAACATTTGGCTTCTATTACCGTTTTGTGAGATGACCCTCTTTGTTGGATGTGCGTGCCCTGGCTTATGGGTCACACCTACACCGACACACATGCTCACTCTCATTCTCCTTTACCTCTTACCAATTCATTCACTCAGGGAGTTACATGTAGAATCCCTAAATAGAGGATCCAACCGTCCTCCCCCTACACCCAGGTTCATGGAACCAGTGCACGTTTTACTCTCTCCGTTGTTTATGTTCTTAGAAGCTTGAGCCGAGACTCTTGTCTAGATTGACACAAGAAGCCTATAGGTGCCTAAGTGCCTCTCTGGCTGTCGGAATCATCACAGCGTGCAACTTCTACTTTGTTTATTCCTTTCTCAGTACAGAGCTGTTTTTTGATTGCCTCATATAAATCTTTAAATATTTACCTATGGAGGTTAAATGCTCTGCTTCTTCTATCCTAAGCCCCAAGAGCACTAGGAAGGAACCACAGCATCATGCAGTTCATAGTTCCTTGTTATTCCTGAGTTTTCTGAGCTTGGCCAGCTGTGCCCACCCTACTAAATGGTAGATGCATAGTCGACGGGACTCCAAAACAAGTCTAAAGAAAGACAAGGAGACCAAAGTGGACGTAGCCAATCAGAATCCCCTACATCACCGGACATTGTAGGGTAGGTTCCTTGAGTAGATGGTGTCTCACTGCAGGAATTAAGGGTCAAATGGAACAATGTTTAATGGACTTCACTGGAATAGAATACCTTTTGACTTGATCCGGGGGCATTGATTTGAATGTGGATGATGTTTTGAGTATTGTGAATTCCCCAGAGGATTCCATTTGACCCTCTACACATATATGCTTAATTCGTATACTATGCCCAACTCCTGCCTGGTGCCATATGTTTATCGAGTTATCAGATAGAGAGTATACACTTTCAACAGGTCACGAAAGGACTAGCCCACAGGCTTTAGATGGCCCCCGCTCTCTCAACCCCCGTCTGCCGTTGCACCCCACCTGACACCCCCTCTGAGCCACCCATCTGATCCCACCTCCCGCGTGCCCTTCCTCCGGGGATGCTTTCCAAGGAAATGTGCAGAGGCTCAGAGATGGCCCTCCACTCGGAGAAAACAAGCGCCCAGGGCTCTTTTGGGGGCCTTCTCTGGCCCTCTAGTGACACATTCATCCGCTGTCCAACGCCTCTCACGGCGGGAAACTGCATGTCATTTTGAAGTCGCTGGAAACACAGTTCTCATGCCTTCCATACAGAGGGGCTGCTCCAAACAGCGCTCCGAAGACTTTAAAAGCAAAACATTTAGGTAAACTCTTAAAGTAAGTCATTTCAATCATCCTTTCTCTTCTAAGTTGTTAAATATTTATTCACCTTTCCTTTGTTTTCATTCCCCTTCAGAGAGTAAAATTAAGGTATAATTAATGTGAGTGATATGCTGTATCCCCTATCTTGTAAACTTTGGGCGTTTCATATAGGTTGAGATTAAATATGTATTGATCGTTCTTAAGGTGGCAGTAGAAAGGCCAAATGGCATTCCTCCGTTCCCACCGTGGCCAATGTCCCCGGGCCTGGCTCCCCACAAGGACGTGGAGAGCTGCCGGCGTGTGCTGTTTGTGGGTTTCTCTCTTGCCGGGGATGCCTCTTCCCCAGCTGTCAGGACGGCGTGCTCTGTACAGAGAGGGATAATGTCACAGCACGCTTGGCGTCCCGCAGGGAAGAGGCATGTTCTGCGCCTGGGTGAAAAGGAATCTATCCTCTTGTCATCCATACACTTAGAACTTGCTGTGTTTTTCCCTTGCTCATTTCGGTTTGCCCACAACGATTTCCTTCTGTGCCCCCCTTCATCTTCAAGACCCACGCCATCCAGCCTGCACAGCCACGTCTTAAGTTGCTTTGGGGGGATGATGTTCTAGCAGGACGGAGGGCGCCCTGCTTCCTGTCAGATCTCTGGTTCTGAGACAGTTCGGGGAGTGTGCAGTGGTACAAACTCGGTGCCTCCTATTCGGCCGCTACTAGGAAAGGTGTCCTCTTCTCCACTCTGACGTTTTGCTCTAGCATCCCAGAGTGTCCTGTCCTGCCTAGTAACCTTGTGGGCCTGAAAGTTCCGATTCTGGGGAGTCCAGCTCCCTTGTTGGCTTTACATATGCACCACACTGCTCTGAACATGTTGGGGTGAGAGTGAAAACTTGCATTTACCTGTCAATGGCCTGAGGCCTGAGTTGAGGATTAATCCGGGGTGTCATCTCCCTGTTGGGAAGAATCTAAGCCACTTGCTCTCCTAACTTGCTGGCAGGAATCACCAAGAGGGGCTGTCAGATGGCCATCAGAGGGGCAGTAGTTCTTGGTGACACAAATCTCCAAGGGAACAGGAGAGCATCAAGAAGACAGAGAGTAAGATAGAGTGTGAGTGGAGAGAGGTAGCCAGGGGGAAGGGGACCTGGGTGGGTGACAGGAAGCATGGGAAGGGATAAATAAGCAAGGGCAAGAGGCTTCAACTTGCAAGAAGCTCCCTTGGGGAGGGCAGGGAGGGGTCTCAGAAAACAGCACAATCACAGCCGAGGCAGCCAGAAGTATGGAGGGGATCCGAGGGGGGTTACAGGCTGAGAACGTATTGGAAAAGGAAATTGGGAGTGAACGGCAACTTTGGAAACATTTATCCTTCCCCAGAAATATCACAGAACAAAAGATAGAGCAAGTAATAAGTGTGAGACTTCCCCCGCCGGCAACCCATGTGATCTGATGGCTTGTCTAGAGGGGGAAGAATCACTTCTTTTGTCCTGGAAGGTCAGTGCACAGCTGCCAAGGGTGTGGGACCCCTTCTTTCACGGATCGCCTGGGTGAGGAGAGCTGGGACATGTCTGTTGGGCCTGGGGGTGGTCACTGTGTCTGCTGCCCAGCAGGGAGCTGTCAGTTGCCAGCCAGACCTATAGAGGAGGGAGGAGATATGTCCCAGGGGGAGAGGGGTGTGTGGTGGGGCCAGGGCCTCCCCGCTGCGCTCAGAGGATCCCACAGAGCCTCCCTCTTGGGTTACAAAAGGCAGATCTCGCTTGGAACATGGCAGCAGTGAGCTAGGCATGCTACCAAGGGGCAGCAGATCCGCCTGGGGTGCCAGTGTTGGTAGGCTCCTTCCAAGCCCTGATAGGAGCCAGGGCCAGTGGGGACCTGCGGAATAGGGCATTAGGCCTGAAGATGCAATTTTTCTTTTTTGTTCAGCCCGGTGGGGGGTGACTCAGGAGGCATTATATTGCAGACCCAAAAAAGCCCATGAGTAATCCTGAGTGAATTCAAGAGGTTTCAACAGCAAAATAATAACAATACTAATGATTCCTTTGATTTGCAGAGTACTTTTCTTCCAAGGAGATAAAAAGATAAACTGTTTTGGAAACACGAAGGAGGGAAAGAAAATTGCCTGTGATGGAGGGTTGGGGAGGAGGCCAGGAGCATTCATTTCAGGGCCTCCATGTAATTGGGGGTGGGGACAGTTACACAGCCTTAGGCATCATTTCTCGGCTACAGCCCTTATCCTTGTAAGCTGTTGAGATGACTTCTGGGTGTAAAACCAGTGCAGGCCTTTTTAATCAGGGTCAACCTAGAAATA